GCCATAATGAAAATGCACAAAATCGTATAGTATAGAAACAGAAAAGGGAATACTACTCCTCTTAGCACTTAGCTGGCTACACTTTCTTCACAAAGCCTTCCTTGAAAGCTCCAGCTCACTTTTTCCTCTCCCCTACTCAAATTCCCAGACCAGGAATAATCCAGGTACCATTTCCCCTTCAATGACGCACAGCAACCATGGTCAGATTTGGCCTTTTCCATCAGGGCTGAAAGCAACCCCAGGGTGATCCTCAACACAGTGCTTCAGGCAGCTCCAAAGTCAGAGTGGGAGTATAAGATGGAATCTTTTGCTATAAAACCTGACACTTAGATATTTTGCTCATTTTTACTGTAAATATCAACCACAGCACCTCAAGTGAATTATAAATTCCTTGAGAAGAACCACATTGTTAGATCCAGAGGAGATCTTACAGAACATCTAATACAGTCCATTCATTTTACAGAGGAGGAAACTGACACCAAGAAAGGTCTAGGCCCTTGACTGATATCACTGCTGGCTACTGAGGAAGCCAGGATTAGAAGACCCAGGTATCTGGACTCTCATCCCAGCCCTCTACTTCCCTTGTAGGTCTCAGCCTCCAGCCCATTCTACTGGGTACAAGTTATGGGTTGAATTGTTCCCCCCTCAAAAAAAATATGTTGAAGTCCTAACCCCCAATATCTCAGAATAAGACTTTATTTGGAAATTGGATCATTGCAGATTTAATTAGTTGAGGTTACACTGGAGTAGGATGGGCCCTTAATCCAACATGACTGGTGTCCTTATAAGATGATATGAAGACACAGGAGAAGAATGCCATGTAACAATGGAAGAAGAGATTAGAGTTAGCAGCTGCAAACCAAGGCACATTAAGGATTGCCAGCCACACTAAAAGCTAAGAAAAAGACATGGAACAGATCCTCTCCTAGAGCCTTCGTGAAAGCATGATCCTGCAGACATCTTGATTTCAGACTTCTGACCTCCAGAACTATGAGAGAATAAATTTCTGTTGTTTTAAGCCACCTAGTTTGTGGCAATTTGTTACAGCAGCCCTAGGAAACTCAGACAGTACATAATGGCTTGACAGTAACTTCCCCACAGGGTGCTAATGTCTAAGGGAGTCTGTCATTCCCACCCTGGCAATCTGTTATTCTTAAGCCCATCCTGAGAGACAGCTGACCCACAGTGAGGATCCCAGAATGAGCTATAACAAGACAGGTTGATCTCTCTCTTAAAAGGATCAATAGGATGTACAGAGCTCATAGGAAGAGCACAAAGTCCCAAGACACTGGGGCTGGGGACCCCCAGCCCATAGGTGTAGCCACTAACCTACAAGTGGTACAGAATTCCAGGTGCAAAGGGGTTCCAGAAGCACTCATCCCTCCTCTCTACCAAAGATCGTGTTGCAACACACAGTTAAGAGAGCTGACCTGGCCACCAAGTTCCTGGTGGAAACCCCCTTTCAGAGAATATACACGGCCTTCTTAGGAGACCATTAAGTAAAGTGGAAAAACCATTAGACATGGGGTTAACAGAAGTCCTGGCTCCACTACTTACTGCTTTTGTAATCTTGGGCAAGTCATTTAAACCCCCACTCAACCTCAGTGTTCTCATCTGTAAAATGGAGCTAATGATATATTCTCTACCTACCTTCTAGGCTTAATATAACAACATTAGTAATGGGTACCATTTACCCATACTTATTGCGTACCAGGAACTGTACTAGGCATACTGAAGTGGTTAACAGCACAGATTCTAGGGCCAACTTTCCTAGGTTTGAAACGAGATCTATCCCTTATTACCTGTCTGACCTTAGGCAAATGACACAACCTTTCTGAACCTCAGCTTCTTCAACTGTAAAATAAGGATGATAAAACTTGCCATACAGGGTTATTATGAGAAGTAAATGAGAATATATATTTAAAATACATGGTAGCTTGTATCTAGTAAGCCTTCAATAAATGGCAGCTATTAAGATAATCTCATTTAATCACCCCTAACTACCCTCTGTGATATGATTATCCTCTTTTTTATATTTCTCATTTCCTGCTCATATTAGGAGTTCAGTACGTACTGCCGGGCCCCACCTGGGGATCCAGGGGTGGGAGAGTCCATGGGCCTGGACTGCCAGTAACAAGACAAGTTCATTTTAATTGTTAACCAGTGGAAGACCTCAGAATGGAATGCTATGTAGAATGCTTCCTTTAAAGAAAAAAAGGAAAGTGACACTACCAAGATGGCCACATAGGTTGTTCCTAACTTCACTCCCCCTCACAGGAAGAACAACTAACAACTGTTCAAGAACAAGACACCGAGAGACTCCCAGAACATGGGAGTGAGGCTGAAGCACCTTCCTGCACCACAGAAACCAAGACAAGAAGGACAGATGTTAGCTGAACCTATTGTGGTTATCATTTCACAATATATGTAAATCAAACCATCGCGCTGTATGCCTTAAACTTATACAGCGCTGTATGTCAATTATTTCTCAATAAAACTGGGGGAAGAAAACATAAGCATACATAAGGATTGAAAAGTAAAGAAGGAATAAAAAGATACATGATGGAAAAAAAAACAAAAGAAAAGAAGAAGAGAAAAAATTGACCTGACCTTTGAAGGATGGGGAGAATACTTAGGCATCGGGGAGGAAGAAGGACATTCCAGGTGGGGAAAAGATGGAGTAAAGACGTAGAGGCAGAGACATCCAACACATGCTCACCAATCAAGCTGTCTGGCTGGAATAGACAGATGGAGTGTAATGTGTGAGAATGTATGAAACAGAAAGAAAAGGGAGGGAGAGACCATCTCTGTGCTGGGAACAAGCCCATCCCTCCAGAAAGTCACCAGCCCTTCTGCCCAGAGTTGATGAGTCACAAACCCAGGATCTGTGTGAGACACCCTGGAGATGTTCTGGATTCTGTCACTTTCTAGGTTCCCATGGTAAATTACTTATCCAACCTCATTTTAAAAGCTACACTTTCATGCAAAGAAAATGGAAATAATAGGATCTCATGCAGTTGATGTGTGTCAAAGAAGAATATTTCAAAGGGGTGTGTCAACCTCAATGTTACAGTAATAGAGATACTGAGAGGAAGCTCCTAGCACAGCATATGGCAAAGGCTCAATATGTGGTTATTATAATGTAGCTCTTCAGACGTTGGTTGTTGTTGTCATCATCTATTTCATCATTAAGCCTTTGCAGCTGATAGAAGGGTAAACTAGGCACATTTACAATTTACAGACGGATTGTTCGTTACTCTGTTTTGTTACTCACTTGTTGTGTTATAATAAGTCATCCAGAACTAACTGGGCACTGATCAGCTACAGAGCAAGTACTGAGACATGGCCCAGGGCTCAGAGATACAGATGCAAGAGAGGCAGCATTCCTGCCCACTCCAGACCAAGGTGATTGTTCTGTCCATCCCCAAATGACTGTAGATGGATTTACTGCAATCAATCTAAGTATGACCAAGGAACAACCCAATCAATTCAACGGGTTATGAACACAGGTTTTAATGAAATAGAATTAAATAAAATACTAGGGTAGTAAAATTTTATTAAACTTTTGTTTTATGCACGTGTGTACTGGGTAGCAGTGTAAAATCTATTTCTTACTGAGGGTTACATTCAAAAAAATGTGGACACCACTGATTTAGACCAACATCTCTATTGTATCAGGGGACCCTTGGACAGTCCTGCCAGGGCAGCGGAAGCCTTGGCCTTTAGCCAACACCTCCTTCATGGATGTATATGGCAAGGCTATTTGTTTCCCAGGAGAAAATTTATAAAAGCCGTAGCTGGAGGAGCAACACAAAAAGCAAGGGGTATTCTGAAATCTCTATGTCCTGCACAGTCTAGAAACTCTCGTTTGCTTGCTACTTTGTCAGAGCTCTGCTGAAGGAAGCAGGGCCACCTCCAGTGCCCGTCAAGAGAAAGGAAAGTTGTATCTTGGTGTCACCACCGTCAACCAGCTTGGGTAGAATAGGGAGGCTGGTCCCTCAAAGGAGGAGGCGCAGTGACCAGCTCCATGGAGCCTGACAGTGGACAGACCTCTCTCTTTCCACCCCTCCTGAGACGCACAGTGTGGCAGTGCTCCAGCTCCCCCGGACCTTTGAAACAGTTCAAGGAGGGAGGCCTCACCATCTGAGAGCGGGCAACTAGTGTGAGTCTGATGTAACCTAATGTTCTCTTGAGTAGAAAATAGACACTTGCTCGAAAACACTGTGATGTCCGTATCTCCAAGTTATGAATCTCTCACTCACTGACTTACAAATAGAACCTGTTAATTCATTTGGGTCCTGGCAATGTCCCGAATCTCTGGCCAAAAATCCCCCTACAGTACTCCTTCATCTAGAATCACTGGGAAATGGAGTAGTCCAGATAAATAAGATTTCCCATAAAACTAACTTACCCCATTAAGCATAGAATTGAAAAAAAAAATCTTATCCATTAAGAAAAGAAAAGAAAAAATCCTCTAAACCATGCCAGTTCCCCCTGGACCACCAAGCCCCATGCCCTCTGGAGCACCATGATCTGGCCCTCATCTTTCTCACTGCTCCCTCCCCACAGTGGTCTCTGAATCAGGCTCTGCCTCCCTCCCACCACATGGGTCATGCTCATTCACATCTCCAAACTTGCTGTTCTTCCACAGATACCTGGATACTCCTCCAGCTATCAAATCCACCCCCCAAGGGCCACCTCAAAGAACTCCTGTTGTATGTAGCTGGCCTCCCCTTTTTTGGCCGGTCCTCCACAATTGCCCCTCTCCCGTGAGGTCTTTCAGTGTTATGCCTATCATATAACTTAGTATTTTATTATATTTTGTTTGCTGTTTCATCTATAAATCTTCTCTCTCAAACCGAGATATCATTTACTTCTTGGGTATCATTCCATAACCTACAAGAGAGGGTCTTGTGAACTGTTAAAAACAGTACATTGTTCCTTGTTCGTGCGGGAGCATTTTGTCCTCCCCTTCGTCTTCAGAGAGGAACAGCATGTACCTTTCTTTTAAAAAGTCTTCAAACTCTTTGCAGTTCTTGCGCCCATTGTTCAGATGCTGGATGATGCTGTCATAGCCAATGTTGCTGAGGATGTCCGAACTCTGGTGAGAAAAACAACATTGTTTCAGACGAGGAACAGCAATGACAGCAGCCCCAAGGCCCGAAGAGTGGACACAGGGGAAGCCAGCAATGGGAAGTTTCTGAAACATTTACCTCCAAGACATATGTTACCAAAAAGAACAAAATAGAAGAAGTAAGAATGTATGTAGCTGTGGGAGAGTTTTTAAAATTATGAAACTGGAGGGCCACAAAACAGGAAGGAAGTGACAGAGGATTGAGAGGCACATGGATGAGGGAGCTGGCGGGCTTGGGTCCCTCTCTGGGCCCCTACCCAGGACTGAAGTCAGGCCAGGACAGGGAGCAGGAAGTGGTCACCCACCCCAGCCTTCTGCAGAGTGCTCCTTCAGCCTGCTGAGTGGAAACCCACTCATGCCACAGGTCCACTTTAACCAGGGGCTATACAACTTTCACTTTGTCCTTAAACCTGTCACAGAGCTTGACCCTGACATCTCTTCCCATAGCCAATAGGCCCAGTCTGAGGGTCGAGGCTATTGCTGCAAAAGGCAAGCAGCTCTGAGCCGTGAGTAAGGCCCAGGAGTGGGAGAGAAGGGCTGGCTTCTCACTATGAATCGTGAAGGGGAGCCCAGCAGCCAGCATGCTCTGTATCGTCACTGGCCCCAACATGGTGGAAAGGAGTTCTTTAAAATTTTAAATTAGCAGTTTATTCATATTTTATTCTACTGTGCGCTCCGAGGTTGGAGGGAGCTGGCTAAGTCTCCTAAAGCAGTAGCCCCAGATGCAGTACATTTTAAAAATCAAAGTCCCCTCAGCAACCCAAACCAATAGATCAGGGGCTCTGAAGAACGTCGAAGTGTCCCCTAATGAGGCTGGTTCCCTGGTTTCTACCCCCGAATGTATACAGGAGGTTGCCTAATTCAGGCTCCAGTCCCTTAGGGAGGTTGGTTAGGCTGCCTCTGGGTGTGCCCTGGGGAGCTTCTCCCCTACCCCCAGCCCAGCCAAGTTGGACTGTCCCTTCCCAGTCCCCAGTCTGCAGAGGGAGCTTCGATTCTGCTGTTGGGTGGGCGTGGGGGACTCCTGAAGATACCTCTCCACCCAGCGCTGGACACTGGAGAAGCAGAATTCCTCTCTTTCATTTGCTGCCACTCGTGACGACCTGGCTGAGCAGACAAGGGTCCCAGAGAGACCCAGCAGGAGCAAGGCCTGAGGCCGATTTCAACATGGCTTTTGGAAACTTAACTGACTATAACTCATGTGGAATTTTTTAAAATGGGTTATTATAAGTATAATAAATTTTATACACAGGCATATAAATAAATCTGAGTTAGAAACACATTTAATTCTATGGGTTCTGGCTGCTGTTTGGGTATAGATGTAGACCTTGGGAAGCCTAAAGAAATAGTGTCCACCAAAGCTTCATTTCTCCACCCGTCCCCTCCATGCATGCTCTTCTGTCTCAGCCAGGTAGGTCCCCCACTGCCCCCTGAAAGGCAGTGCTCAGTGGCAACTCCAAGATGATGCTTGCATTAGCCCCTCCTAAGTCCAAATCCAGCCTCTCAACCCCCAAGTTTTCTGAACGCCCTCTCTGACCTCCCCCTCCTCTGTGCTCTCAGAGCACACAGCTTCTGAATTTGCTGTTCGGTACCCCCAGGTGAGTAGCCTTGCTGTCCCAGCTCTACTGCAAGTGCCTGAGGCTTCTTCCAAGTCTCGGACCACACCTGCACACCTCCCCCCAAAAATATAGTTTACTATACGCACACCAAAGGTCTACAGTAAAATTCTGCAGGATGAAAATGCCTATTGCGGTGCCAGCCAGATGCATCAGAAGACAACAATGAAAACAAAGACTCCTGACGGAATGAATGGATGAATGAATGGGTGCAAAGGGTCAATGTCAAAGTTAGTTTGTAGACAGAAGTGCTTTGCTCTTCCCAGAGAAAGATACTTTGGTTCCCTGTCTTATGACATTCATTTGGAAAGGTGGTTTCCTTTTTTTTAATTAAGGGTGTGAACACAATTTGAGCTGGACGGGTGGAGCTAGACTAGAGTTTCCTGGAAACAAACCAGAACACCAGGCCTCCTGGCTGCCAGCCTTAAAAAAACAGAATTACTGCTTCAGAGGAGTGGCTGGGCTACAGAGGCAACCAAGAAAGGAAATCCCCAAGAGAAAACAAAGAGTGCCCAAGGACAAGTTCAATCCTCCAGGTGGAGGATTTGGCCTAGAATCTCCCTCCTATGCTACTCAGAAAGCATGAGTGGCAAGCTCTGACTGGCAGAAATCAGAATAGGAGGGCTAAACAGGCAAGAAGACTGCATGAGCAGCACGCAGGCATCACAGATCTGCCATCAGAAATGAGTGTGCCAAACCCATAACCCCAATATCCTCGGCTTGGTGATCAGAGCCCTCTACACAATATCCCTGACTTCTCTCACCCAGGTTTTCCCACACTGGTCTCTTCCTTGTCCTCCAAATGGGCAGTGTACATTTCTACCCCAGGACCTTCGCACGTGCTTTTCCCACAATGGGAATGACATCTCCTCCTCTTAACTTAAATCCTACCTTTGCTTCAGGGCCAGTTCAAATCCCATTTCCTCTCTGAAGTCTTCCTCAAATAATTCACCCTATAGTCCCCTCACCCTCTTCTGGATACCTGGAGTGTTTAATGCTTATTCCTGTCATTTGGCTCTTATTACATGTTATTTTGTGTCATTAGTTAACATCTTTTAAAAACGTAGTTAACTTTTTTTTTTTTTTTAAAGATTTTATTTATTTTTTGCCCCCCAAAGCCCCAGTAGATAGTTGTATGTCACAGCTGCACATCCTTCTAGTTGCTGTATGTGGGACTCGGCCTCAGGCTGGACAGAGAAGTGGTGCCTCGATGCGCACCCGGGATCCGAACCCGGGCCGCCAGCATCGCAGCGCGTGCACTTAACCACCAAGCCACAGGGCCCGTAGTTAACTTCTTAAAGGGTATCTGGATTATACCCGATCTGTACCATCCACAGTAGCTTCCACAGTAATGGTGCTTGAGAAACGTTTGTTAATTGTATACCAACCCACAGACAAGGTACTAAAAAGGTTACAAAGCCAGCAGAAGACAGAGTTCTTGCAATCAGGAAGCCTGTCCTTCATTTAGGGAGTCAGAAAAAGACAGGAGCATAAGACAAACATGTATGCATAAGGAAAATTAGACACTAAAACAGTATATAAAATTACTATATAAAACACTATATAAAATTAGACACTAAAACAATACATATACAGAAAATATATAATGAATGAGGTAGAAAAGAGAGAATAGGCTAGGGTCATCAGAAAAGAGAAGAAATAAGATTTAACAAATTAAACAAACAAATTAAACCTGTAGTAAGTAGAAGGAATGAAATTAAAATAGCGGAACATAATGAAATAGAAATGGACATACAATAGAGAAAGGAATGAAACCAAAAGTTAGTCTTTTGAAAAGCTTAATAAAGTCGATAAACCCATAGCTAGGTTGATCGAAAAACAAGAGAGAGAGAAAGAAAAAGCACAAATTACCAATGTCTTCAATCTGACAAAGGGCATCTACAAAAACCCTACAGCTAACAATCTACTTAACGGTAAAAGACTGAACTCTTTCCTCCTAATAAGGAGGAAATAACGCACGAAAAAGAAAGAAAGAGCATACATATTGGAAATGAAAAAGTTAAAACTGCCTTTATTTGTAGACATGATTGTATACACAGAAAGTCCTAAAGAATTTACAAAAAAAAAATAACTAGAACTAATAAATAAATATGACAAGGTTGCAAGACACAAGGTCAATATACAAAAATCAATTATATTTCTGTATACCAGCAGCGAAAAATAAATAAATGAATAAACATCATCTACAATGGCAAAAACGATATAAAATATTCAGGAACAAATATTTAAGAGGTTATATAAGATTTCTTCACTGAAAATTACAATGCATTACAGAAAGAAACGAAAGAAGATCTCATTATATGTAGATGTACACCATGTTTGTGGACTGAAGAGTAAATATTGTTAAAATATCAATTTTCTCCACATTGGTGTATAGATTCAACACAATCCCATCGAAATCCGAAAAGTCTTTTCTGTAGAAATTTGCAAGTTAGGCTAAAATTTTTGTAGAATTACAAAGGACTTAGAACAGGTAAAACAATTCTTTTAAAAAGAAGAACAAAGCTGGAGAATTCACACCACCCGACTTCAGAATTTTCCATGAAGTTATAGTAATCAAAATGGTACGGTACTGATCTGAAAATAGACAAACAGATCAGATTAGAATCCAGAAACAGACTCACTTGTCAATTGACTTTCAACAAAGGCGCCGAAGCTATTCAATGGGGGAAGTGATAGTCTTTTCAACAAATGGTCCTGGAACGAAAGCATAAACCTTTGGGAGAAAAGAGCCTCTATTCATTCCTCACACTATACACAAAAATTAATTTGAGATAGATCATAGACTCAAATGTAAAACTTAAATATAAAGTTTTCAGAAGGAAAATACCTTTCAGACCTTCAGGTAGGAAAAGATTTCTTAGAGAGGACACAAAAAATATGAACTACAAAAGAAAAACTGAAAAATTGACTTCATCAAAATTGAAAACCTCTGCTCATCAAAAGTGATTGTTAAGAAAATTAAATGGCAAGCCACAGGCTGGGAGAAAATATTCACAATACATATGTCGGTCAAAGGACTTGTATCCGGAATATATAAATAACTCCAAGAAATTAAAAATAAAAATATAAGCAACCCAATAAAAATTGGGCATAATACTTGTACTTCATAAACACTTCATAAAAAGACACTTCATAAAAGATATTCCTTTGGCCAAAAAGTTCATGAGAAGTTTCTCAACATCACAGGGAAATTCAAATTAAAGTCACAGTGATAGCTACTTCATGCCAGCTAGAACAGCTAAAATGAAAAAGTCAGCATTGAATGCAGGCAAGGATGCTGAACTATCAGAACACTCATGCATTGCTGACGGGAATGTAAAAATGGCACAATCATTTTTGAGAAATGCAGACTTCTCAAAAAGCTAAACATACACATACCCTATGACCCGAAGTTCTACTCCTAAGCATTTACCCAAGCGAAATGAAAACATATGCCCACAAAAAGACTTGTACAAGAATGTTCACA